GTGTGTGTGTGTGTGTGTGTGTGTGTGTGTGTGTGTGTGTGTGTGTACGTACATGTGCAGGTGTTGAATGAGGTGGTGGTGGATCGAGGACCCTCCTCCTACCTGTCCAACGTGGACTTGTACCTTGACGGACGACTCATCACCTCAGTGCAGGGAGACGGTGGGTCTGTGCTTCTTCCAGAGCACTGATTCGGTTTCTACTAGAGCTGAAACAAAGTGTTTGTGTACAAATAAAGTCAAAGGAAAATGTTTTAAACTGCCTCCATCTCACTCTGTTCTCCAGGTTTGATCGTGTCCACACCTACAGGCAGCACGGCGTACGCGGCTGCAGCAGGAGCTTCTATGATCCATCCCAATGTCCCCGCCATCATGGTCACTCCCATTTGCCCCCACTCGCTCTCTTTCAGGCCCATCGTGGTTCCTGCTGGGGTGGAGCTCATGGTAAGGAGGAGGTTGGAAACATCTTTATTGTGTTTTGTATATATTAAATGTTCTCTCAGTGCTGACGGAAGGAAAAAACTAAATCATATTTAAATGTTGCCAAACAACAATTATGAATCTAACATAATCTATAGAAGTCCATATTGCTAGAAATCCAGCATCTTTTTCCCCCCCACACAACAGTGCGCTTTCACACCACACTAATAGCCCAAACTCACTCACTGTATTCACCTTGAGCCAGAATAACGCGAATAGAGCCATCAACACGATCTGCCAACACAGTATAAAGGATGCAGCTGCCATGAGATCAGCTACTGGTTAGTGAAGTCCCGTTTTGAAGCCTATATTTTAGTGTTTTCACCATTGCTACCTTGGCTTAAAATAAACAAAACCAAAAGATGAACAGAGGAATGGTCGCATCTGACTGTGCAGCTGTTCGCACATACGCTAATGACATGTCAGTCACAAGTCACCAGCCAATGAGTGTACTACAGATAATCCTCCTCTCTGAAACATGGTATCACCAAGATTTACAAAATAGACCTTTGGGCAAGATGATGAACCCCAAGTTGTTCTCTGATCCGACCAGAGAGTGAGTGTGTGAATCTTAGATAGGAAAAAAAGTGCTTCTATGAATGGGGGAATGAGGCATGGTTTATAAAACAAGTACAGTAGAAAAAAGCTATAAAAGAACCAGTCCATGTACTATTTAGTGGCCGCCCCCCAACCCAGCTCAGACTGTGTCTTATGGGCACAACAAATGTGCGTGTCTAACCTTACTGCACAAGAAGATCTGTTCCAAACGTGTACCACCATTCTACACAACTTAATTAGTTCTGATTGGATTTTGTCTCAACAGACTATCTTCAGCTCATTCATAAAAGTGTCGGTACATTTCATCATAGCTTTTGTCCTCGTGCATTAGTTTTTATTTAGCTATTGTTTTGTTTTTGTCAGAAGAAAAGGCCATTGATGAAATGTATTGGTCAGTGACATTAACACTGGTCTGGAGGCATCTACAAACAAACACCAGGTAACCTAACATGCAAGTCTTTGGACTGTTAGAGAAAACCCACAATCCTCCGGGTACCAGGTCAGGCGGTTCGAACGAGCAAGCTTCTTGCTGTGAGGCTGGTGGTCTGTCCATCACTTTATTACAGGCTTAAATATCTTAATTAAATTTTTACCCCACCATTGTGGAATAACTCCAGTAACCCTCTTACTTATACCAGCTCTAACAAGGGTTTGAATGAGAAATATTGGATATATTTCATAAAATTGTTCCTGTCAGCCGCTCTGAATTATAGTCACTTTGTTTTATCTGGTAACAACAGCAGTTTTTGCATTGGTGCTTTGGTTCATGGCCAGATGCTCACAAAATGAGTAACGTGCCCTTTGTTCTCATCTGTAAGTTTGTCAGTGCTGGTTAGAAAGTAAAATGGAGCTGCTCGCCTGGCTGATGTTGTTTTAACTCTAACACTGACAGTCTGTCCTCGCCTTCCTTGAAACAGATCACGTTGTCCCCTGATGCCAGGAACACTGCCTGGGTGTCGTTTGATGGCAGGAAGAGGCAGGAGATCCAGCACGGAGACTGGTAAGCACAAGTGTCGACGTCTGTAACAGATTCACTACAAATACTTTTTTCCTCAGTTTTAAGATGATTCTTCCGTCTGTTCTTCTACCCACAGTATTAAGATCACGACCTCCTGTTATCCGGTGCCATCGATCTGTTGTCACGACCTGGTGTATGACTGGTTTGAAAGTCTAGCTCAGTGTTTGCACTGGAACGTACGCAAGAGGCAGGCCCGACTCGCAGACACCTCTGACTCGTCAGACACAGAAAACTGACTGGTATTTTTGGGGTTCAAAGACATTCAGCTGAAGCTCTCTGTAGCAGCCCGGAGAGAACGAAGGGATCAGGTTTGTTCAGAGACGAACTGAGGAATCGTCTGCAACCAAATCAGCGGTGCACAGTGATCATTTGCACCCCAAGTCATCAACGCATTACAGTCCAGTGAATACACACTGTAGTTTATGTGTATCTTCCAGAAAGAAAGCATGTTTCATCTTACCCGGGAATGGAAAAAAAAAAATCTTAACAATTGCATGATGATGACCACCCGAAGCTCCTCATGAGTACTAAACAATCATCAATGATAAGTGTAAGAGTGCTAGATGTTAGCGACATAAACGTAGAGATACACTGAAAGCTGAAATGAAGCAAACATACTCTTTGTACTCAACCTTTAAATGTAAATTTGTAAATACAAGAATCTAGGATTAATTTATTTAACGTCATATTTATGTAATATCTGAATATTTTCAGGACAGGAGTTTGAAGCAAGTTTAAGAAAACAGTCGACTTAAAATGAAATTTCTATCACGGAGTAAACCAAAGACGACTGTATGTGATTGTTTTCTACTTTATGAACGTCTTGTGGAGTTCACGGCCTACTTTCTGTTCTCACCGTAAAACACTTCATGTTTCAGCTGCCTTACAAACTTCTCAGCCTGAGTTATAATGTAAGTCAGATTTCTGTGTCGCCGTTGTTATCAACAGATTGTGAAATGATTAAAAGATGTAGCAGGAGCCAAACTTAAAAATAAAGAAAAAACAAACTTTTTTCCCTTTTTTCATCTTTATGTGAACCCAAACTCTCCCTTCATCAAATCAGGTTTTTTTTAGCTCTTATGAGAAAACTAGCAGTTCTAGTTAGCCAGTAAAAATCATTCAATAAGCACATTTTCTACAATTACGTGTCATTCACTGCTGTTCCTCTGGACTGATGTTAGCACTGCTGCTGTTTTTAGATGTAAGTCTTGCCATGTTTTGCTTCACGTTTTGGTGCGCTGCACACAGTGAGCCAGGTATTTAAAATTAATTGTCAGGAAGTGGGTGAAAGCGCAGGTAAGCAAATTAATGGAAGCATGTCTCACCCCAACCGGTCGCAGCAGATGGCCGCCCCTCCCTGAGCCTGGTTCTGCCGGAGGTTTCTTCCTTTTAAAAGGGAGTTTTTCCTTTTCCACTGTCACCAAAGTGCTTGCTCATAGGGGGTCATATGATTGTTGGGTTTTTCTCTGTATCTATGAAGCGCCTTGAGGTGACTTTTGTTGTGATTTGGCGCTATATAAATAAAATTGAATGTTTGTGGCACTGAAATAGAAATTTGTTTATCTCAAAATTTTGACTTGTTCAGTAGGTAAGTTCAAATTTGGTATACCTCAAAATTTCAACTTTGTTCTGCCTGACTTTTTTTTTTTTTTTTTTAATTCAAAGGCAGAAACAAGCTTTCATACAAATCTGATGATTGGGTGAAGATTTGGTGTGGTGTGGCCAAAAACACCTTGTATTTTTTTAATGTGCTAGAGCGTGCTGGCACGTACAATCAGATTAGGTCCTTTCAGGTCTCTCTTAGAAGATTCATGGCAGGACCGAAGAAGTTTGATCCTTGGGAATGCAGTCCTTCTTTGGGTTTGGAAATTCTGGAATCTGAAAAAAAAAAAAAAAAGCCATTCTGTCCCTGATTTGTAGTGCTTACTTGCTCCAATGATACTTGACACAAAAGGTCAGGTAGTTTGAGGGATAAGTTGAGTTGGAGTCACACATTCAAACGAGTGGCCAGAGCAGGACATTGAAGAAATAATCCCACAAAAATCCCCCACTGCCCTATAATCTGTCCAGAAGTCAAAAGATCTTGAAGAGGAGAAGAGACGGGCTAAACTAAAACATTTTAAATTAATCAGTGCCTTTGCTACATGTATTGCAAATATTTGTGGGGGACGAAATGTGAGGCGTTAATTGTAGTTTAAAAAAAAATTAATTTGTTTTTGGTGGTCACAGATCTAATATTAGAAACAAAATCAGTGCTCATTGTACTTTCTATATTTTTATTGCAATGATAAGATACATATATACTTCCAGACATCCAATTTTATTAAATTATACTCCAATATTGCAGGAGACAGTCTTGAGAATGATATCAATCCAAATGTGGACAACTAGGTGATCAAAAGACACTTTTTTTTGTTTTGACCACAGATAAAACATGGAGGTTTTACAGTTTTTTTTCCACTTTCATTATTTCTCCCGGAAATGCGTGATGAGAAGCAGTAGCAGCATAGAGTAATACTACAATATACAACAGACCGATACTGTGCAACAGTCAAGAACAACTGGGAGAATCTTTTTTCCTCTGCTCTCTCTTTTGTGAAATATTTATGCCAATATTCAGAGAACAGCCACTGACACACTGGCAACTCAGGAAGGGAAAAAAAAAGACACTACCCCTTCTGGGGAAGAAAAAAAACACATAAACAAGACGACATCGTGGTCATTAGAGAGCTAAATGGAAGTACAGCAGACAAAGCAACAAACTACAAAGGCTAGAGGAGAAACTAAAAGAGTTGTAGAGAAAGCTGTGTGGATTATTTTAAAATATTACTTCATCAGAGTGTGTGGGGAACCGGCAGGTCACTGTTAGTGTTACGCAAACCTCAAGTTAATGACTGACCACTGTTTGTGAGACACATGGCACCACACAACTAACCCACCGTGTCACAAGCTCAACAGTTTTGTGGCAAATGTATTAAAAAAAAAAAAAGACAGATAAAAATGCTGATATCTAATAGACTGTTGTTACCTTTAAATAATGAGTACACTTTATGATCATATTAAAAACAAAAATAGATACTCTGGGGATTAAAGTTACACCTCCTACAGAAAAGCAGGGGCAAACTTTGATTCTTAGACTGAGTAAATGCATATATCTGATATATCAATAGAATCCATTTATAAATGATACATTTCTATTTTATATTCTGAAATAAACTTCTCGCTATGACTAAAAACAGCATCTAAGACATTTCTAGCCAGAAGATAACGTGAAGGAACAGCTTGGACCACGGTTAGTGGGACCACAGCTGCCAGCTGGATTCACAAAGCGACGCCCGCCAACTGCTGTGTGGCGGCTTGTGCGAGACGAGACGGGGACCGACATGGTTGGAGTCTAGTGCAAATGCCTTTAAACGGTTTCATTGAGACCAACAAGTCTTAGTTTAGCTGCACACTAACGACAACCGTGCTGTGCTTTTTCTCTGTGAAAGTTGTGTTGAGTTTGACAGGACAGTAACAAAACTAATTGACCCGAACGCGCCTTGCGCTCAGCTCTCCCTCTTAAAGCGTGCGTCGTCGTGAGCTGTGTTTGGCACTAGAGTTTGCGTAACATTATTATCTGGTTCTGTTTGCAGATGAATGAGCCGACTCTACCTCTCCTTGCTTTAGTTGTACAGCAAATGTTGCAATTTTTGTTTTCAGTGAAGTAGGCCCTGCATCCCAGTTGCTCACCGGGACTCATCTTTAACTAACTGTTAAAGATGAGTCCCACATTATTAAACATGAACTAGAAGTACTTCACACAGTGTGTACAGGATTGCACTATGATCATAAGCCATTAAAAAAAAAAAACAACCCAAAACTGAAAATAGCAAGTACCTCAAAGAGCTGAATGCTCTGCTGTCCAGAAGCTCTATCCAGCCACATTATAGTTGATTTGCTTATTTTTTTCTTTTGAGTAAACTACAGGTTTTGGTCCATCTGGTGAGGTTCAGGTTTCAAAGCTGACCCGCTGGTCATTTTGCTGCCTGAGAAAGCTATCAGACTCACCGCTCCTGGCACAGCTGGCTTGCTAAATTACCACAAAATGTGAGAGAACAGTGGCTTCCTGGCTTTCTCCAGAACTACCGTGGATTATACCGACAATACAGAGCTCCTATGACAAAAAGGTGGCCAAAAAACAACGTGTTTTATTTACTGGTCAGTTTAACACCGTCGTTCTTTAAACTCATACCTACTCTAGGTCTGACCTCACATACAAAACATCCAAATGAATCCATTGATGGGATATAAATAAGAGACATTGGTTTGAACTGACACAAAGAAAAAGAAAAAAGTGGAGGAGGTCTGGTCTGATGGATTCCTCAGGCAAATGTGTCCGGTGGCAGTTTCATTTATACATAAATAACATTTGGGTGGGAGGAAACGGATCCACCGTAAGGCTTCTTTTTAAACATTGTTTCCCCATTGTTGTGGGTGTTAACTTTTCAGTGTTGCGTCTATCTCGGTACTTTAGTGGAAGATCTCAACAACAAGAGATGGAACCTCTCTGCAGCCTCAGAGAGGCCGGACCAGCAGGTCCTGGGATCACAGCAGGGAGGGAGGGAAGGACAGAGAGAAGTAGAGAGTGATGGGATTGGAAGAAGTTTATGTTTGAGCAGTCTGAGGTTTAGTCTCACTCACAAACCGTTCTTTCCTTTCTTGTGTCTCTTCATCTTCCTCTTCTTCCTCCTCCTCCTCCTCCGTGTGCTGCTCCAGCTCCTCCCTGGTGATCATCTCAAAGTCGTTTCCGTTGCTGTGCTGTGAGCCTTCATCCTCTCGGCGGTCGCTGTCTGTGTCTGACTGGCGTTCCTCCGTTCCCTCCCCTTCCGCTTCCTTACCCTCCTCCCGCCCTACCTCTTTACTCTCCTCTTCATCCTCCTCCTCTTCCTCGTAGCCATCCTTCTTTTCGCTGTCCGACTTCTCGTCGCTGTCTGACTTCTGAGCCTTGGTGGAAGTGCCGCCGTCCTTCTCGTCTGACTTGTCTGTGCCCTTCTTCTCGCTGCCTCGAGGTCCCTTGTATTCATGGGTGTAGAGTGGCCTGAACGAGTCGATAAAACCAACGTCTGCTGTCAGGTTGGGCAGGAACCAGAAGTGATGGCGCCCGCCAGTCACCAGCCAGATAATGAGGAAGAGAATGCAGCGAGCTGAGGAGACAGGAACCAAGCAGTGAGATAAACTTAACACACACCTGGCATCAAAAAGTGGAGGAGAAAGAGAGACCATATTTCTCCAGAATTAGCTTCTCATCACTGGCTCCCTGTTAAAACCACAATTTAAAGTCCTTCTCCTCATACAGTCCTGAATGATCAGGCCTGATCTTATCTTAAAGACCTCACAGTATCATATTAACCTAATGAGACACTGTTCTCAGACTGCAGGCTTAAGCTGTGTCCACACTGAAAGCTGACAGCTGGTTGCTTACAGACACACCAGGCTACGGTTGCCTAGGCAACCCTATATTCTATTTACTAACAGGCTATATGACCATTTACAGTATCCTGCGCTCTCATTGGTAGTTGCCTCAATCAGTCTCCTGGAAGCTAAGAAAAGTTTATTACATACTTTAATACATACCTCACATACAAGGTCTTAAATAATCAGGCCCCATCTTATCTCAATGACCTTGTAGTACCATATCACCCTATTAGAGCACTTCGCTCTCGCTCTGCAGGCTTACTTGTTGTTCCTAGAGTATTTAAAAGTAGAATGGGAGGGAGAACCTTCAGTTTTCAGGCCCCTCTTCTGTGGAACCAGCTTCCAGTTTGGATTCGGGAGACAGACACTATCTCTACTTTCAAGATTAGGCTTAAAACTTTCCTTTTTGCTAAAGCATATAGTTAGGGCTGGACCAGGTGACCCTGAATCCTCCCTTAGTTATGCTGCAATAGACATAGGCTGCTGGGGGATTCCCATGATGCATTGAGTTTTTCCTTTCCAGTCACCTTTCTCACTCACTATGTGTTAATAGAC